CTGCCTGTTCTGCTCCCCACTCTGTCTCTGGTGACGCCTCTCACCGCCCCTGAGCCTCTGGCCTATACCCCAGTTCTGTATGCACAAATAAATAAATAAATCTTTAAAAAAATAAATAAATAAATAAAAAACTTTACTGATGTTTAGGTAACTCATTACTTGACTTTTTCAACCAGGTAATTCTCAGTGATCTTGCAGAAAGCAAGTTCCACAGCATAAATACTGAATTTCAAGAAGTACTAAGCAGGAGGAAAGAGATGACCCGGTTTTTGGAAGAGTGGTTAAATACTCGTTTTGACACAGAGAAGCTTAAAAGTGGCATCCAGAGGGCAAATGATCGACTCTGCCAAGTGAATAGCTTCTATAACAGCAAGATCATTGTAAGTAGTGACTGTCGTGGTGTTCCCTAGGCTTTTTGTTGTTTGCTCTAATTTTTAAACTTCTTACTTAAAACAGCTTAGCGTTAAGTTCGTGTTTTTTATTTATTCACCTGTGCTTTGGGGAAAGCCTCTTCCCAGGGATCACGCTGGCCTCAGGCACTGGGGTGGCGGCCCATACCCCTGAAGGGGCCCAGGTGCACCACCCACGGCTGCCCCCCTCCCCCCCCTCCACTAATCCCGATCCTGCCCTAGGGCGTGTTGGGTCCTTTTTCCCAGGGTGGTCAGCCGTGGGTAGACCCCCAGCACCTGAGGCTGCTTGTGGTGGTTCACTTGTGGGGTGCACTGTGCACCGAGAGCACACCCAGTGCTTTCCGGAGGCCCCACAACCTGGCAGAGCTCAGAACAGGGAGCCAGGCCAACGCCCCCGCCTCTGAGGCTGGGTCTATGCGTCACGACTTGGCTTGTTCTTGCCCAAAATGGAAACTACACTTAAGTCACAGGAAATAAAGTTTTAATTTTTAAATGTTTTCCCATGGGTAGTTAATCCTCTTCATTGATTACCCAAAGCTAACAAAATAGTAAGTTAGGCTGTTTCAAGATAAACAAAAGTGCATAATCAGCAAAGAAAAGCATAAAACCATTGTCTGTATAAGATCATCTCGGTAACCAGTGAGGCCCGTGTAAGCAGGATGTATTTGTCTGGGGCAGGAGACTGCGAATGTGTATAGTATGAGGGGGCGGAGCCCAGGAGAGTCCGGGGTGCCCGCCAGACTCCGCTAGGCACTGTCTGATGGAATTTCCAGGAAGCCAGCGAGTGAGGGCCGAGTCCCCCAGGTGAGCGCAGAGGCTGAGGCGACGACGGGGTTGTCGGCCAGCCCCGTCACAGAGCTGGGGCCTGGCTAGTGTCCCGCCAGGAATGCAGGTCCGCACATCGCTTACCAAACACCTGGGACCTTTTCCCTGTGGACACTGAAGCAGGACGCCGCTAAGCTGACCGGCTGTTAGATGGCCGTCAGACATGCCATCAGCGGTCGGCAGGGTTCTGTTATCCGCCTCACGTAGATGACAGCTCTCCCCGCTCAGCTCGGCGTCCTCAGCATCAGCACCAGGCTGGTGGTGAGGCCGCTGTCCTGCAGCAGTGCCTGCTCCTGGCCCTTTTCCTTACAGTCCTGTCACCCGTAGCCAACATCTGACATTGCAGGAGCCAGTCAGTACAATCCAGAAACTATTCACATGCCTTTAAAGTAGTGTTCTAGAGTATTCTGAACTGAGAATTTCAACATGTTCTTTGTGCTAGTATCCTAGTATCTTTTTAATCTATAATTTTAGAGCCAAAATTGTGTGTTTACTGTCCATTAGGCTATAATGAATGAATCCACAGAATTTGAGGAAAGAAATGCAGTTGTTGCCAAAGAATGGGAGCAGAGACTTAAATCAGTGAGAGAGAAAAATGAAAAACTGTTTAAAAACTACCAAACTTTGAAGATCCCCCAGACATCTGGTGCCCTTGTCAACCCTGCTCCCACAGGCGAGAAGAATCATGTCACGACCAGAGCTCCACAGCCTACCTCAGAGGTGTGTGATCCCTTCTCTTTTGAACAGCAGCTTTATCAGTCACGGTGCATCTGTATAACAGTTCGGAGAAAAGCTATAGCACTTAATGTATTTAGCAAGAAACACGTAGAGAGAGAGAGTGGCGGGCTTATTTTTCTCATTCTGCTATTACATAAGATCTTTCCTTTGCATTATGAAACAAAACTAATTGGTATCTTAGATTATAATTTTCCTAAATCATGTGGCTTCCAATTAAACTATAATTTGTATACAGAACTGACCTAGAGAGGGAAAAATAAGTTCATTTTCAACCAAAATAAAGCTATCAGAGATTACAACAGATTTCTAAGAATTCGTATGTTATTTGAATGGTTTTGTCATTTTATTAACCTGGGGATAGTTGAGTAAAGTAAACACACTATTTTACTAACAAGCAAAATGACAAGTAGGCAGCTAGAATTGGTCATTTTTAACAAAGCCAGTACTGTAAGGCATTGACCACAGTTTACTTGGCAGTTACCAATGGAAACTAAAACATCAGCACACTATGGGGGTTTGTTGGTCACTGCCCATCTCGGCTGGGAGACAGAAAGGAGAAATCTGAAGCACGCTACCAGCAGCTGTGAGAGAAAGAAGCGGGGATGTGCCCGCCCGAGGACAGAGCGACGCTGCTGCTTGGCCTCCAGTTAGGGCAGCCCGTGGTGTGGGGTACAGGGAAGCCTGAGCACCGAGACCCTGCCTGTGGTGACAGCCCTCACGGGGACAAGCTGGTCTGCTGCTGTGGGCACAGAACCATCACTGGCAGCGGACAGAAAGGAGGTCTCAGTCATTAAGCAGATGCCAGGTGGGCAAAAACGCGCTCCGTACGGAAGCCTGTGTCGTGCACGCAAATACTCCAACACCCAAGAACAAAGTCAGGGATCTAACTTTAGGTGCTGTTGACTTGCAAAAACTAGAAATAACCTAAAATCACCTAACAGGTTAGCTAAATGATGGTACCTCCACAAAGCCCAGGGAAACAAATGTGAGAGAGCTGTATGTGTGGTACTGGAACATTTGGGATGTATGTTACCGAGTAAAAACGAAGAGCGAACGGTCATAAAAATAAAGGGAAATGTGTACTAGACATGTTAATTTAACGAGTCAGCTGGCAGATGTGCTTCCTGTGAGTGTTAAAATGAGAGTGCTCACCAGTCAGTAAAATAAATATTGTAAAGCAGAATTGGGCTTTTAATCCAAGAAGCATCAGCTTCTAAACAAGTAATTTTCTACCCATTGTTAATGTAATCTGTGAAAAATTAACGCCTTAATGTGACCATCTTTGTCTCAAACTCATCTACTGTGATTCTGCCTTAAGTGTGTGGCGCCCCGGGGTAAAGCACAGCACTACGAAGCTGGCCGCAGCCCCTGCAGCACGAGTGAACCCCGGGGCCCTGTCTCCCCGCTGCTCCCCTGAGCAGTAGATTTTGGCCAGGCCACCTGTTCTGCTCCCCACTCTGGAGCAGAGTAGGGCTGGTGAATGCTCTCACCCCCTACGTTTCTGGCCTTTATCCCAGTTGTTGCATGTATAAATAAATCTTTTTTAAAAATGCGTGTGCTTTTCCTAACAGAGAATTCAGGAGCTGGAAGCCTCGCTGCGTGAAGCTAAAGACAGCGCTAAGCATAAAGAAAGCAAGATCACAAAGATGGAGAAGGAACTTGAGATGATGACCAATATGGTGGCAGAACTCAAAGGGAAAGTGAATGAATCAAATAAATGCCTTGAGAAAACAAGAGAGATGATGCAAGCCCTTCAGGTGACTTACACTCATTTTATTTTCAAGGCTTTTCTCTTGTGACTGCTGAGTGGGGCGCTCTGGCTGCAGCCGCGCAGCCTGTACACGAGTGAGGGTCTGTGCTCAGCCTCTCTGGAAGCGAATGCATGACTTGCTCGAAATGGGGCACGCGTGACTCTGGGGTCCAGGCCTGTGCTGCCAGAGGACTCCAAGGGGAGCAGTGACTCAGGTGGCTGGGGGGTCGCACAGAGCTCGCATAGAGGTGTGGTGTGGGAGCCCAGCCATCTGCACGGCGGGGAGGAGACCGGGAGCTGGCGAGTTAAGCTGGTCCCGCTCCATCTTCACACGGGGGGGCTTAAAGGGCTTCTGGGGGCAGGAGAGTGACGAGGTCACCTTCAGCAGAGACAGGACAGGTGTCCACCAGAGAAAACTCTCCTGCAGGGAGCTTGTAGGTGGAGTCGCCTTCATGTCTTCAGCCTTTAGGCTTCATTCCGTTCAGGTGTATCATTGGTTACGTAGAGAAGAATTTGTTTGAATAACTAAATGTTTCCGTTCCCTAGTAAGCATCTAGGAATTCCTAGACTGTTGTTTCATTGTTAAGTGATCTTTCCTGCTTTTCTTGTATTTGGAGTTGGCTGTTCTTAAATGGTCCTACCCACTCACAGTTAATTGTTAAACTACGCTAACACCTTCTCTATCTTTATCTTTCCTAAAAAAATGTAGGACAAGGCCGCTCTGGGAGTCAAACCCTATAAAGAAGAAATCGAAGATCTCAAAACAAAGCTGGTAAAAGTAGACCTGGAGAAGATGGCGCACGCCAAGGAGTTTGAGAAGGAGTATGTCTGTGCCTAGTCGACGTGCTCCCGTGACTTGCATCCTCTCCCCAGCCTAAGTTTATCAGCACTAGTTAACGTTTCGCAGTGTGGCTCCTTGAAAACAGATAGATCCAGATTTTAAGCATATTAAATTCTCATTATATGTGCAAACTTATTTCATCAGAACTGTGATCAATGAACACTGTTTTGGGTGCTCCTTTACCGATCCTGTTAACCTTAAGAATAGCCCTTGCTGACTTGAGGGAGTTACCGTGTGTTGGCAGCTGAGTGAGGTCTGTGGTGGCCCTTCTGCAGTGTCGCGTGGGGGCACCTGCACCCAGGAGCACATCTCACTTAGTGCTGTGTGGCGGCGGCCCGGGCCCTGTGAAGCAGCATCAGGAAGGCCACTAAGCAGGCAGGGAACCTGGGTGAGGAGTGAGACGTTGCTTCAGCAGACTGCGCTGGGCCTCACCTTCATGGTCAGAGCTCAGTTTGTTGTGGGTGTTTCTGAAACGCCCTTCTGACTCCTAACTCTGTTCTTCCCTAAGCCTCTGACAAATATTTAATGATACCTAACCCACCAAGGCTGTGTGAGCCTTGGTGTTGTCTCACTTCACTTGCCTTCCACTTGCTAAGTTTCACTGCATTTGCCCCTGTTAAGTTCATTATGCTAAGCAGTTTGACTTACCGCTGAGTCAGCAGATACTTTGAGTATCTGGAAAAAAAGCTACTGAAGAGTGTCCGAAAAAGGCAGAAAGCACTATTACTTAGCGCTGCTGGTCAGCCATTCACAGACCACCTCTGCTCCCCCTCGCCAGGCCGCAGTCACCTGGCTTCCCTGACAGGGGACTTCTGAGCCCTCTAGCTGATTCTAGGACCTCGTGGAAAACGCCCAACAGCTTCACAGATACTCTGCTCAGGGTCCAGTTAGTGGCAGTTGGGCCTTGTAGGAATTTAAAAGGAATTGGTTTCTCAGAGTTAAGGCTGTTGTTCCTGCCCCAGACAGAAACCCCACCACAGACCTCACTCGGCTGCCAACGCACAGTAACCCCCTCAAGTCGGCAAGGGCTATTCTTAAGCTGTTAATAGGATCGGTAATGGAGTACCCAAACAGTGTTATTCGTCGACCACAGTTCTGATGAAGTAAGTTTGTACATGGAACGAGAATTGAATATGCTGAAAATCTGGATGTATTTGCTGGGGTTGCGCGGGAGCACCGCTCCTCCTCTGGGCCACGTTCCGTCACTGCAAGGGGTCTCAGCAGAAAATGACTGGCTACAGTTCAGGTTATTCTGCCCCTAAAAATCTGTTTCTTCTCTTAGGATGACGTCTGTAAAAGCCACTGTAGACTACCAGAAAGAAGTTATAAGAGCACTGAGAGAAAATCTGCGAAGAAATCAGCAGGCCCAAGATACCTCAAGTAAGCAGAACATGCTTTCCGTTTACTTCTCCAGACTCCTGCCCCAACTGTTAAGTAAACCTACCTGATCCTGGCCCAGAAGACCTGTTCCCCCAGAACAGGTGTTTCTGGAGTCTTTTCCTATGACATTTCCTTAGTAGACGCAATTCGACTGTAGTCTGGAAAAGTATGAATTTTACCTTTGCATTCTTCGGTTTTTTTGTTGGCGAAGACACTCCGACAGGGTGACTCTGAGTGTGACCTGCGTCTTGGCAGGTTGTGGCCCCAAGTGGACAGGACCTCCTGCCCTGCTAGGCGGCAGGGTGCGTGCTGGTTTGCCTTCCACGCTAAGTGTGCATGGGCCTGCAGAGCAGGCCAGACCTCTGCTTAAACACTCCTCCGCCTGCCCCGGCCCAGTCTGCCTCTCGCGTTTTACTGGGGGGGGGGAGAGATGCCGCCCGGGGCTCGGCAGCTGTGCAGGGGGCCGGCTGCTCCCTGGGCAGCTGCCCTCGCTCGCTGGCCGTGTGAGGTCAGGCCACCAGCCCTACTGGCACACATGCTTAATGCAAGGGTCGCGCCCACCGTCCGTGTGAAGCCCCCTGAGAGGTCCAGATGCCGCACAGACGCAGGATGTGTGTACTGTCGTCCACTTAAAGAAAGCTAGAGGCAGACAGACGTGGTGTGTTGCAGGATAACCCCGGTTCCTTGAAAAACATCAGGGTTTAAAAACAGACCTGGGTCCTTACTGTTAAGGGCGTGGATGATCACTCCTGGTTCGTGAGTGACAGTCAGGCGCACGCTGAAATCCAGACAGCTGCAGAGAGGATGGCGCACGCCTTGCTGTCTTTTGTAAGTCACTGCGTGGCGGACGTGAGTCCTCGGGCTCAGCTGAAACTGTGTTGAGTCCTTCGGCGCCCGAGCGGCTCCTGCATCCAGCGCTGAGATGGCCTCCTGGAGACCCCACTGCCGCCACCATGGCCCTGGAGGGACGCAGCGGGCGGGACCAGCTGGTGGGGATTGGCAAGGTCTGGGGACACACAGGGTTTCACCGGCATCGTGAGGAGCCAGCACCATCGGTTCCCAGCACTGGCCACTGTGAGCTGGCACCTCCTTGGTGTTTATGTTGCTTCTCTGGGGCCTCTGGGTGCCCATACCACCTGGCATGTGCCATGGGGATTGTCCAGGGGCCCGGTCGGCGGGACTGTGTTGGGCCCTGGCAGGAAAGGGCGCCCTGTCCAGGGCAGAGCCCACCTGACGCTGAGCTGCCAGCAGCCCATCGCTCCACCCTGGAGTAAGCGGGCTGGAAACGGGCGGGAGGCCATGAGAAGCGCCTAGTCCCTCCATGGAAAGCGGCCTTGGCGGCCGTCTGTGGCCCGAGGCCTGCGGTAGGGCCCGGCTTGTTTCTGAGTACGTGCCTGTGGTGACTGGCTTCTCCGTGCACTGCTCTACTCAGTAAAGGGAGGACCTGGTGGAGAATGGCAAGCGGGTAGGCAGTTAGGGCAGCTGGCACTCGGGGAGTCACACACGACTCGGGAAATGGCAGTCGCGGGCTTTGGTTTTCACAGTGACTGAGCACTTGGTGAGCTTCCCTTTATTTTGAAAGTTGAGCATCATCAAAACCATAACCTATTTGTGCATTCGCCTCTCATAGTGGTCTCAGAGCACGCCGAGGCGCAGCCTGCAAAGAAACCCCTGACCTGTGGCGGTGGCAGCGGCATTGTACAAAGCACGAAAGCGCTCATCCTGAAGAGTGAATATGTAAGGCTAGAAAAAGAAAACTGCAAGTTAAAGCAGCAAAACGAACAGCTCATGAAGCAGAAGAGCGAACTGCTAAGGTAAGGTGTGGACGGGGCAGGCACGGTGCCGCCCGTGCAGCGGTGGGGGGTGGCGCGCTGCCGACGCAGCTGGCGGAGCTCCCGCGCGGGACAGTGTCCTGAGAGTCCGTGAGCTGTATCTTTGTAAAGGGCCCAGGACCTGGGGCCGGGGTAGCCATCGTGTGTTTGCTGCCGGCCACTCACTCGGTCCGACCTGAGCCGTTACCGGGGCCAGCAGATCTCAGGGTCTCCACGACTCCACACGCCCAGCCTGTGAGCTTCCCTCCCAGGAGCTGGCTGTCTGGTGTTGTGGCCTGTTCACTTTTACATTGTGGACAGTTCTGACAAACTTAATCGTTATCTGCCAAAGATTAGTCTTGCCAGAGCACACTGCCAGTGTCACCGCTAGTGACACCCTGGGGAGAGACATCATTAAACAAGTGATCATACAAATGACTGTTCAGGGTAATGCTGGTGAAGAGAAGGACCGGTGGGACACTGCACAGTGGAGCAGGGGGCGGGGCCTCTAGGTGTCGGAGGGGCAGTCTAGGAGACCAGCCAGAGTGGGAGCCCACCAGGGATGGGCACAGAGGTGCCTGGTGTGGCCAGGGCACAGGGGAGGGCCGATGAGGTGCCAGGTTACTGGTCCAGGTCGCACGGGCCTCGTGATGCACCCAGACGTGAGGAGAGGATCATGGTGTGGTTAGATGGCGCCTCTGGTGCGAGGACAGTGCCAGGCCAGCAGGGTCTGCTCTACTCCAGCAAAGGTAACCTCAGCCTGGATGACAGTGGCCCCAGGGGGCCAGCAATGAGGTGTGACACAGATGAGACCAAGGCCCTGCCTCGGGCCAGACTGGTGTGAAGGAGAGCAGGTCGCCCTCACCTGCCCCTAGGTGCACTCTGGAGGGACTGGGTCAGCGTGTGACCTCTCCCCTAGGAAGCAAGAAGGGGCAGTGCAGTGTCCTCTTTAAACAGCAGAGGTCCGCCACAGCCACCTCTCCAGGCCAGTCTACTGCAGGACAGCCGCAGGGTCAGCCGCTCTGGCGACGTTGACTCGCCTGCACATGTGACCCCCTTTGGCTTGCATCCGCCACTCCGTGACCAAGGAGACGCACTGAGCCATTGAGTTTGTGTCGACCTCATCCACGTCCTGACCTGCAGACAGCCCAAACAGGAAGAGTTTGGTTGAAACTAAGCCATAAACGTGAAAACACGGTCAAGGATATTTTAGGTGCTTTCACTCACTTGTAAAGAATGTGGTGACGTGTGGACATTTCAGGCCTTGAATGCGCTCATGAGCTCCTTTTCGTGTCCCCACGTGTAAGCAATAACCACCACCTTTCCAGTGAGTTCAGGACCTGGAAGGAGAGAAGCTTGAAGAGAGACACTCACGGGGAAGCAGCCTGTGAGAATTCCCCGAAGGCAGCTGGCGCAGCCCCTAAGAGGAGGCACCGCACACCCTCGCGGTGCAAGGAGCGGAACGGGCCAGAGCCCACAGCCCAGGAGTCGCCCAAGTCTTGGTTCTTCAATAGCCGCTCCAGCTCTTTCCCAGCACCGCACCCAGTTCGCTACTTCGACAACTCAGGCCTCGGCCTTTGCCCAGGTAGGCGGCTATCCCAGTTATTTGGCAGTGGGGCATGGGCCCTGGTGTGGGCAGGGGCTGCCATGCCCTTCGCACCTGGGCAGGGGGAGTCCCCACAGCACCATGGCGTGGCCACATCTTACCCAAGTCCAGCCTGCTCTGCCTCTTCAGTCTTCAGTTTTTCCCCAAAACATAAGACACCTCCCTGCAAGCACAGTGGCTTCTTTGGAAAGGCCTTTTTGACTAATTCCGTGGCCAGTACTCATGTCATTCCTGCTATACAAGCCTGATGGCAACCTGTGTACTTGCACGGTCACCCAGTCTGCAGCATGTCCACCAGTAACGTGACAGGCACTGACTGATGGGCAGAACCAGCGTGGACCCAGCCCTCCTGAGGGGGAAGTCCAGCAGCGGGATAATCCAGGAAAAGCCAAATTCTAGTGTGTGGGGCCAGGAGACATGTCGCCGCCTTTGTTTTAGGAACACTAAGAGGTGCTCCTGAAGGGAACAGATCTGGGGCGTTACCATGAGTTACTGAACCTGCAGGTGGAAGGGCGACGGCCCCTGTGGGAGGCGGGAACAGGGCGTTGGAGCGCAGGGAGCACAGACCTGTGTGGGGGAGCTGGTGCAGAGAGCAGAGCCAGCCCTGCTTGCTGTGGACCCGTGTGGCAGTGGAGAAGCAGGACGTGACAGGAAGTGACAGATGGGCGGAGTGGCACGTGGGGCAGAGAGTAGTCAGGGCCCGCCCTCCCCAGGTACTGGCAGGAGGGACTGGGCAGTGGCATTTGGGGGGCGCCCAGAATGACAGCGCACGCATGTGAAATATGAATCACTCCAAACACAAATAAAAGGCCTGTCACGTACAGCGTGTAGACCTCACTGGTACTGTATTAAGTGAGGTAAATAAAAAAGTAGCCTGGAGGAACATGTAAATCAAAACTGACAATGCAGCGTTCAGGGACATAGTTCCAGTAGTTTGAATTTGTAAAATGAGTCTAGAAAATGTTTAATGTCAGTCATTAATTTTAATTCCAAAAGGCAACCTGAATTATCTCAACAACCTAATGGTAAAACCAGCTCTACTCAGTTTACTTTACTGAGTGTAATAACTTTGAAAAATGAGTGTTGTTATGAACAAATGAGGGAGGCTGACTGAGCTTTCTAAAACCTCGAGGTTTTCCAAGGGTAGCTACCGTCTCTCTAAAACACATACTCAAGGCACGCCATTTTTCCACAAGCAGTCAGCAGAAAATCACAGTGTTTGAGTTGCTTTGAACCTCAATTTAACGAATTTTAAATAAAAGTTTACTACTCCACTTTGTGGATAGGGTGTCTACATCCATTGAAGACAATTGAGGACGCGTCTCTCCAGAACTGGTGGCGGGGACGGCTTTTCTGCCGCGCTGAGGATTGAAGCGCGAGGCCTTCCCTCCCCCTCACCTCGGGGCCTTCGCACATTCCCACTCCCAGCGGCACCTGGTCCTGTATAGCTGTTAACACGGCATCTCCTGTTTCTGCTTTCTTGTCTCAGAAGAACAGACCGCTGGAGCAGAGAATGTGGCCCCACAACCGGGGGCCTGGCTCACCTCTGGGGCTGATGTGCCGGAGTGCAAGACCCAGTAGCCTGGTCGCTGCTGCTCTGCCGCCCCCGAGCGCCGGGGCCTTGCTGGGAAGCGCCATCACGGCTGACCTCGTTTCAGTTCCATTTTCCCTTTGCCACCAGAGTTGGAAGGTGAACGGAGATAAGTGCAGTAATTTGGGAGGGTGATGGGATGCCTGCTTTCTCAACATGCCAATATTTTAGAAATCAGCCATTTAATTTATTTGTGTATTTTGTAAAGAATAAAGTTGTTGGAGAAGTGAGGTCTTTCCAGATATATGAAATATATACACTCTACTAGTGTAAAATTGTCCACATGTGACTTGCTTTCAAAGTATGGTATGTAAATTAATAGGAAGCGTGGTGTAATGAGCAGAGTTATACATGTCTTTAGTACCTTGAGCATTCAGGAAATGTCCAGCAGGCCTGAGCTGCAGGTCTCCGTTACCTCGGCGAGTGGCCTCTCGCTGGGCACTAGGTTTGTTTTGCTCTGCTCTCTTTTGCTATGGCAAGATAACACCTGCTTCCTGGGTTCGGTGGTGAGGGGGCAGCAAGTGCTGGTGCCTCGTCATTTCTAGCCTTCATCTCCAGCGGTGACGAGCCTGAGCGCCTTCTCCCTCAGGACTTCCCGCCCACCCCACCAGCACTCCGCCTGGGATCTGGCTGTCGGAGTGCGTCTGCTGCCTTTGCCGCTGGGAGAACCAGACGCCATTTATGCTGCCCTTGCGTAGGTAGAAGCAACACAGGCTTCAGTCAAAGTCTTCGAGGCTGTGGTCCCACCGCCTGTAACACTGAGTTTGTGAGGTTTACTGTGGATTCATTTCTCCTGGACATCAAGATCCATACTCATATCCTCAGGAAGCTGTGACTGTGTAAGAGGCAAAGAACCAAAGTTGTAGAGCGCTCAGTGGTACTCAGTGGTTCTCTTGCCTCGTGCGACTTGAAATGCCACGGAAACAGCAATTCGTAAGAAGCTAGAACAGTAGCTTTGGGCATTCTTAGCTCTTCGATAAAACGATGCAAAGGACATCACAAATTTGCGTCATGTCCATCATGTTTTTCCCTTTGTGGGACTCTTCCTTATTCTAACGACTCAACAGGAATTCACAAGGGCTGAAGGGAAATGATTGTTTCCTTCAGCTTCCTGTCCCCAAGCTTAGCCAGGCACGTATCTGTAGGTTTCATTCTTTACAGCTTCTGACCTCCTGTCCATAAAAGTAACGCAAAGTCACAGCTGGGATGTTCGCCTGGAAAATAAAACTAAAGATTACTACGGCGTAATCGGTGATCAGCTAGAAGGTTGCTTAACCCTGGAATCTAGATTTCCAATTCCTGCCTCAGATTTGGGGTAGTTTGGGGGCCATTAGTCTTCATATAAAGGTGTGTCCCTTTCTCACTTCGTTTCTGTAAGTTCACGATGCAATTTTGTCCCATTGCTGATGGCCATCAGCACCTTGGGCTCACTTCTCTTTTTATTCTCTTTTTTTCTTCTGTGACTGAGGGATTTCAAGTGACCTGTCTCTTTTTTTTTTTTTTAAGCTGGGTGGCTTTGTTTTCTTTTTTTAAAGATTTTTTTTTTTATGCATACAGAGCTTGGGCACAGGCCAGAGTGCAAGGGCAGCGAGAGGACTCACCAGAGACAATAGGGAGCAGAACAGACAGATCCACGAAGCTCACAGGAGAGGTCTGCTGGTGGGGGACCAAATTCATGCTGACTGAGGTGGCTGGGGCCAGTTTCCAGTGCTGCGCCTCCACTCATTGTGCTAGCAGGGAACCCTCAAGTGACTTGTCTTTACCTTGGTTGATTCTTCTGCTTCCAGTCTTCTGTTGAACCCCTGTAGTGGTTTCAATTCAGTTGTCATACTCATCCGCTCCAGAGTTTGGTTCTTTTTTACAATTTCTGATATGCTCCTTTTCTTCATGCAACATTTTCCTGATTTAAGTTTTTCCTCCATTCTCTTAGATCTTGAGCTTCTTAAAAACCATCGTTTTCAGGTCCTTCAGCGCTCAGTGGGGTTGGCTTCTGGATTGGTTTTGTGACTTTGGGCTGTGTGTGTCTTAGCGTGCCTTCTGGTCTTTTGCTCAGTTTTATGCATTTGAAAAACAGTCACTCTTCGTAGTCTTTGCAGACTTTCTCACAGGAAAGATCATCAGTGATCCCAGTGTTAGATTCTGAGGGCGTCAAACCTTTCTGACCTTTCACTAGAGACCTTTGTTTCTAGCTACAACTGGTTTCCTACCCAGGAGTCTCCTCTCTGGCTCTGTCTCATGTCTGTCTACAGTACACAGATGCCGGTGCTGCAGCAAGACAGAGAAGTCTTTTAATGAGCGGTCACTATATAAGGGCAGGAGAGAGTCCCACCTTGAAGAACTAGTCCGCTGAGGGCTGCAGCCCCATGGGCGGTCTGTTGTGAGCTCACTGCTTGCAGCCGATCAGTGGAGAAGGGAGGCTGAGGGGGCAGTATCCTGAGAGAAGGCCAGGAATGGGCCTCAGTTAGAGGAGGCTGGCAAGCGCAGACACCCAAGCCCAGTCCAGGGACAGGAGGGGCCTTTCAGAGAGGCCGCAGCACTGCTGGCTGTGTCACACCACCGCATACCATCCACTCCACCAGTGACTGCGTTTCAGAAGATTTCTAAGCAGGCGGTGCCCAGCACTGTGCTGATGGCCTTACTCGACTCCAGGTGGCCACAGCGGGGCCCCTTCATCCCACCAGGGAGGGAAGAGTGGGGTTGGCCTCCCACCTTTCTGACTCCACAGTGTTCCTAACCACCCTGACCGTTATGCGCACACTGAAAATTCGAAAAAAAGAAAACCTCGACCTCATTTTCCTCACAGAGGCTTCGGGGTCATTCTGCTCTCCCACACCTCAGGGACCGGCCCCTCCTCTCGCCCTGCTGGTTCAGC